GGGGGGGGGTGGGGGGGTACAGAGGGTTTAGTGTTAAGGAGACGAAACCCCTTTAACACACTTGTGTGTGGATGTGTCCACGCACCCAGACACGTATCTCGCACCCAGCTTCTTGCTGAAGCTCTCTCAATGGTTTCTTTCATTTTCTAGTATCTTTTCAATAGAGACTCTGAGTTTCTGCACAAACACGCCCCCTTCTTCCCTCCCCCCCCAGTGGAGTCGATTTTTTTATTCTCCTTTAAAAGATGTTGCTGAAGGAAACTGGCGTTAGGGTTTCTGGCTCCCCCTTCCATCCATTTCCAAGCTCAGCTTTAAAAAGAATAAGAATAATAAGAATATTAATAATAATGAGGTGCAAGTGTCTAAACAACAACTCAGAAAGGAGCATCGCCCAGGACAACAAAGAACAGCAATAAAAACGGGAGGGAGCAGAAAGAGAGATATTTGCGTGTTGCATATCTTACTCCTATCTGTTAAAATCATGTCAGGTTTGGGGAACAGGAGGATTTATTGATAAATGTGTGCGGGGGGGGGAGGGCACATCCCCTGCAATCTTATTTTCTTTCTCTCTTTTTGAATAATGTTCTTTTCACGGAAGTCAGAGATCTGGATTAGCTAGATGAATAGATGTGTATGAATAAGCAGAACAAAATAAAAATGTGTTTTTGGACCGGCGAGTTCAATCCCTGGATTACCTTCCCCCCCCCGCACCCCCACACAAATAATTTGACTTGCAAATACATAGTAAATAGAAAGATGGGTTTCCTCACCCACCTCTGTTTATTTAATGCAGTTAGACTAGGAGATGGAGTTGAGAAAAACCATTTCTGAACTCAGTTCTCGTCTCTTGCTTGTAGCCTTTTAAGTATGCTGAGGAGAACCCCCTTCAAAAACCATTTTTAATAACCACACACCCCTGATGGCCCTCAGGGAAGCTGCTAATAAAACGAGTGTATGTGTGCATGTTAAAACTAAATTGCAAATTAAAAATGCAAAGATAATCTTTCTTCCCCCCCCCCTTTCTTTCCATCTTAATCTGCCTGGTTAAATGGGGATGTTTGCAGTTTAATTTCATTATTGCCCTTTATCTCCAGTGAAAACTTCAGTGGGTTGAAATTTCCCTTTGATTTGTGGCTTGGCAGTTGATGTGGTTTGCTGTGTAATGTTACCACTGCTAACTTGTTTACAGCTTCTTTTGAATAACTCGACTGGGTATTATGCATACGATAACAACAGAATTATTTTTTTAAAACGCTCAGTTCCTTTTTGCCGATGGACGGCAACAGAACTCCCTTCGTTGCATTCTTAATCTTTGGTGTTATGGGAGAGGGAAAAGCATCCCAAAGGTTTTTAAAATGTCACCAATAACCTTTAAATCCTCCTTGTCTAAAAATATTGCATTTCAGACCTCAGCACAACAGCCTTTTATATCCTAGCTTAACACATTGCAAATCCTTGAAAACACATGCCGAAGGGAATGCAAAAGTTGGATTCTTTGCTTTGTTAGGAGCTTAGTAATATTGATAACTTTTTTCCAGTGATTTTCTTTGACTTTTCAAATCAGGCTTTCAAATGGTATTTTATTATCAGTTTTGTTTTGTTTTTTTACTGGGCAAAAAGCTGCCTCGCTAAATTCTTTGGATGAAATTGTTAAGCTTGTAATGGAATGCTTAACTCTGATGTTACAGAGGTGATAGCCTTTCCAGTAGAGTTTGGTACTTTCCCATGCGCCTTGCAATAACATAATTGCCCTAGGGACAGAATAATTATTCTATACCAGGGACAGAGCCAACTGAAAAAACAGATTCCTGAATTATGCTACTTCGGTTAACAATTGCATATTTCTATAGCAAAGTAAGGTACCTTTGAGTTAAACTTGATCTTTGGTGATTATACACTTCTGGGCAGCAACATGGAAGTGGTTTGCCATTGTCTCCTGGGATGTGGTGAGGGGGGGGGTGTTTTTTGTTTTGTTTTGCAGTCTAGCCTACAGCTCTGGGATTCCCTAGTGGTCTCCCATCCAAGTATAACCAGGTTTAGGCTTATACTTGTTTAGATTCTCCATCCAGACAAAATTGACCCAGTGCTGCCACCTGCTGAGATAATTCTGCAGTTCCTCCATGAAAAACAACTCCCTGTTCATTCAGAATTAAGCAAACGTTGAATCCTTTCTTTGGCATGCTGGTGCTCTCTGTAGAGAAATCGTGTCCTCCCAGCCTGTTAAGGTGCATTGAAACATTTCAGCCCCCACTGTCAGCCTGATATGGTATAGCCAGGAACTGCTGCTTTACCAATCAATTCTGCTGGATACAGCATTTTACCAATAGAATCCTGGATTGTACCAATTTGTGTTGTAATGCAGGGTGGAATTCTCAGATTTGAACACTTCAAGCTTTTTCTTAAAAAAAACTTATGAAGTTATTATTTAAGGATGGATAGATAGGGAAAGCAACTTTTATTCACTCATTTGCAAGGCAGAAGATGGCATCATACAGGATTATTGGCTATTTCATTTTGAACAGCCTACATTGAAAGGCACATCCTTTTTCTCTTTGATTTATCAAGTGGGGGAAAGAAAATCCTCTTCTCTTTTCACTCATCTCCTTCCATGGAAGGGCTTCCCCAACCCATTTTAGC